CTAATAAAAGTGAGCTCCCCCTTCACTGAGAGAGGGGGGCCCGAGGATTCCCTGCTCAGAAGCGAAGGAAGAGCCAGTGAGAAGACCCTCCCCTGTCAGGCGCTGACATCCTCGGGAAAGAGATGTATCTAGTGCAGAGGCAATGCACCTTCCATCCCTGACGTACAACGGCCGCTTTCTGGGCCAGCACTAGAAACAGGGCAGACAGTCCACGGCCACCTGTTTAAGGGTCGAGCAAGGGGCAGATGGAAGAGCAGGGCCGTGAGCGTCTCGGGCTCACATCTAGGACTCTGCCGCTGATGGTAAGTAGGACATCTCCCCACACCCTGCAGCCTGAGCCTTCCAAACCACCCAGAGCACCAAACACAAAGTGAGACTGCCCCTTCCTGTTTGCAAGAGCAACGTTTCAGCACGAGACTCTGTTAACAACGTCACTTGGGACAGAATGGAATTGTACAAAACCTTTACGTGACAAAGACACATCTTTTCTGTTCAGGGCATGGCACCTTGTGAGAAAAATCCATTTGACAGGGTTTTAGGTAGAATGTATTTGGCATGTAATATTTTTACTCCCACAAAAATACTGAGAGCAGCCTACAGTGATCCCAAGAAAGCCCACTAGAATTCTCAAAAAAAACCTCTTAGAACAATTTTACCTAACCTCATGTCTTAAAAGCTGGGAGGCTAAAGAGCAGGACCTTCGTAGAGTCAACAAATTATACGGGGCAAGCAATCACCACCCCTACAAACCGGGAGTCACAGGCCACCGAACTCAGGGACAAGTCTGGGGCCTCTGCTGAGGTGTGCGCTGGACCAGGCCCCGAGCGGCACAGAGAGAAGCCTTCCCCCAAGGGTCTGATGAAGCCGACGCTGGGCAGAAGCTCCGGTCGATGGCACCATGTGAGCCCCAGGGCAGACACAACTGCTCTGGGTCCAGAGTCCACTTTTCTTAACGGGAGCTTCTTTGTGGGGACAAGTCACATCACCTCCCAACTACACCAGCAGTTCGTTCCCTGAATGGTCACAAACCAACTCCCTGTCCCCCCCAGGCGCCATCATGCTTCCCTGGGAGCGCAGCCTGGACACGAGGCGCCCCATGGGATTCACGGAGAACAGGAGCCAGCCGGACAGGCCCCTTTCCTTCCTGTCCCACCCAAAGAAAAATGTAGCTGAAGGAGCAAGGACACAGGTCCCTCCAGACACCGTTGGCTTTGCAGAGGGAGGCTGTGGACCCACCATGAGAAAGCCAAACCCATCGCTCCTGCTTTCATCCAAGTTTCTTCCCAGAGCATGTGTCTGGTTCAGGCCTGGGCCAGGGTCCCAGGGGTCCCAAAGATGCAAAACAAGTCCCTGCTATCGAGGACAGTCTGTCTCTCCCAAGAGATAAGACACATGCTCAAGAGGGTCAAACAGGAGGGAGTCACTGTAAGGGACTGGCACTGAAAGAAATGTGCAGAACCCGGGGCGGGGGGGGGCTCTGGTGACAGGAGGGGTGGGGGTTCACGGAGGACATTGCCCTGGACCAGGCTATAGCCAAAGGGTGTAGGATGTCCATGCACTGAGCTGGGACAAGCAGAGGAGAGCGAGCAGGAGGCACCAGGGCCTGGCATGGCAGAGGCAGGGAGAGGGAAGCCTGGCAGGACCGCAGTCCCAAAGGCCAGTGAGTGCAGAGCAAGAAGGAGTCGCCTGCCAGGCCCTGGAACCAGCCGTTCTGGGGTGTGAGGGCATCGATCTGCCCCCCACCCTGGGTGTTTCTCAAACGCTCACCAGACATTTCAGGCATGAACTGATGGGAGACAGTAAAACCCACGTTTCGGCTTCAGCAGCTGAGCACCAAACACAAAGTGAGACTCCCGTCCCAGGATCAGCGTCAAGCCAGCGGAGAAGCAAACCCCAAGCAGGAGCCCGCCTGACTGGGAAGGGAACGGACGGCCCTATCGGATCCGAAGGCAGGAGGCGCGGGATGGGAGGAGGTGTCAGGGTCCAGGCCGATGCTGCCCCGAAGGACAAGCCACGGGAGCAGAAGTGCCTTCCGGAGGAGGGTCTCCTCCAGCTTGGTGGGGGGGTGGTCCTCATCATCAGAATGGAAGGCTTGGCACAGCTGGGCCTTCCAGGGTCTGCTCAGGAACATCTGCTCGAGCGAGGCTCTGCCGCTGCACCCCATGTCCCTCAGCAAGTCCCGAGCAACAGGCCTCCACGTCCCTGCTTCATACTTCCCACGCTCTGCTGCTTTTGTGACTACCTGCACTTTCCTTTCGATGCTGGTCCGCTCACATTTTACCATTTTCCCCAAATCTAACACTAACTCGTGGGCAGCCTCCGCGGCTCTACCTACAGCCCCGCACGTCCTGGGAGCGCCTTGCACCACAGAGAGGCAGATGCCTGTGGGAACCTACACCCCGTGTCCCCACGGCCAGGGACAGCCGGGGACAGTTGGGGGGGGGGGGCCCAGGGTCCCAGAGCTGCATTCAGAAGGCAGAAGGAGGGGGCAGAAAGGTGTTCCAGGCTCCTTCCTGAGCAAGAGTGCGGGGCACGGACCCTTGTGTCCTGGTTTCCATATTTCTCGATGCCATGAATGCCTGTTACCAGGACCTCAGTGCGGCCCAGGACCCCCCAGGCACACGCGACTCACTCACCTGAATAAACAGGCACAGGGTGATAAGATGTGACCGCCCAGGCTAGGGTCAAAGGGTGACAGAGTTTCCACCCTGCCCTGGCGCTCACCTGGGGAGCTCACGCTTGCCACCAGGCGCCCTGGGGTTTGGCAGCTCAGGCCGCACGGAGACACGCGTGAAGGCGTTCCAGACCGAGCTCCAGCTGAGGCCCCAGCCCACGGCTATGTCCACGTCCCCATGACACTGACAGCATTTCTGCCCCCCTAAGGCTAAGTGGGGCCTTGTTCACACAGCACACTCGTAAATAAAGTAAATGTGAGGATATGAAGCCGATGCATCTGGGGAGGTTTGTCACATGCAAACACCACCTTTGGGCAAAGTCACCTTCCCTCCGCTGGTCCTCATGCCTGACATGGAAAAGACCAGAGCAGAACAATGTGATCCCCGAGTCCTCACCCTGCTCGGATTTCCACTGATTCTGTACAGATGCCCACGAAGCTTCCGCTCACGGGGTGGCTCCGCGAAGGCAACGTGCCCAGACCAATGCACACTCGTCCCCGTAGACTCAAGGGGAAAAGCAGTGAGGGAGGAACGTGGCCTCCCTACAGTTCCCCTGACTGTATGGGGGTGAGGGTGTGGACATTGTCATGCGTACAACTGTGACCCCGAACATGCTATTCGTGGAGGCCTGACCCCCAGTACTGCAGAATGTGAGCTTATTTGGAAATGGGATCTTTTTGGAGGTCATCAGGTTAAAATGAGGTTATTAGGGTGCGGCCCAGTCCAATATGACTGGTGCCCTTATCGGAAGGGAAATCGGGCCACAGATACAGAGCGGCACAGAGAACAGATGGCCTCCGCCTGACCGTCCCCCCCCACTGCCTGACTGGCTCCCCCTGTGCCTGACTGTCCCCTCCGCCTGTCTCCCCCTCTGCCTGTCTCCGCTCTGCCTGTCTCCCCCTCTGCCTGACACTCTCCCCTCTGCCTGACTCTCTCCCCCTGTGACCCAACCCCGACTCCCACAGCCAGCGCCTCCTCATTACTGTGAAAATTATTCAAAGGAAACCTCATTTAAAATGGCATTGGGGGGGGCGCCTGCGTGGCTCAGTCGTTGAGCGTCTGCCTTTGGCTCAGGTCATGGTCCCAGGGTCCTGGGATCAAGCCCCGCATCGGGCTCCCTGCTCAGTGGGAGGCCTGCTTCTCCCTCTCCCACTCTCCCTGCTTGTGTTCCCTCTCTCGCTGTCTCTCTCTCTCTCTGTCAAATAAATAAATAAAATCCTAAAAAAAATTTAAAAAAAAAATAAATAAAAAATAAAAAAATAAAATGGCATTGGGGGCCAGCAGGTAGAGCTCACCTGTCCTCAGGGGCAGACCCAACAGGGACCCGACTGGGGTAGTACTTTAGCTGCTCCTTTCTTCCCCAGCAGGAGGAAGGACAGTTTCTTCCTCCCCCGTCCCTGCAGGACCAGCCCAGCCACTAAGAGATGCTCACAACTCAGCCAGTGAGAAGCCACGACATTTGGAGCTCCCAGCTTATTCCAAAGGACTTTTGATGTTTGTAACAGCCTTCCCAGTGGCCGCCTTTCTTCTATCAAAGAGACTTGCTCTCCTTTGTTCTCCAGACCTGCCTATGGTTTAGCTGTAGCTTGCCTGTCCCAAGTGGCACTCCTATGCTATTCCCAAATAAACCCATTTTTGCTGGTAAAATAGCTGGAAGTTTATTTTTAGGATTAATATCACTCAGCACTCCGCCAGGGGCACCACCTCCAACGGTCCTTCCCGGCCACGCCGTCCCAACTCCTCTCCAGCTGAACTCCTAACACCTTTTGGCCCTGTCCCTGCACGGAACGTGGGTCCTGTAAGACAGGGATGCGTCTGTCTTATTCACTGGAGTACTTCCAGCCCCTAGAAGAGTACCTCGCGTGCAGCAGGAAATAAATGGGTGTTGCAAATATGAATCAACATGAATGAATGCACTGGCCCTCTGTAAACCCCACAGGCCGCTCAGGCAATACCAGGGAGGGACTTCTCCCATTCTTTCTGTCCCCCTTTCCTGGACTAACTTTCTTACCTCAAGGCCTCTAGAGAAGGCGCTCCATTAAGGGCCACACAAGGATTAAGCCACCCAGTGGCTCATCACCAAAGCCGTGGGTAAGGCGCAGGTAATCCAGTCTGATGTTAAGGAGCTGTCACGTGCTAAACACGATGCATATTTACTACAACTTTGGGCCAGGCCTACCATAAGCATGATGTTAGACCAAGAAAAATTCAGGCGGGACCCACACTGACCAGCTCTGCTTTTCCGTACAGTGCGTCTCCAACCCCCTGGCACGCACACACATTCTCTCTCCCGGAGATCAGAGTTCCAGGTGAGTCACCTCCTACCTGTGTCCGATGCCAGATGACAGATGCCCTGGAATGGCCCAGCTTATTCCGGCAGGGTCCTTTATCATAATGGATCAGGAGGAAATCATCCTGCGGAGAGAGAGAGAGAGAGAGAGAGAGCGGGGTCGATGGCAGGTTCCCCTCGGTTCAGTGAGTGAGTCCTGCCGGGGCCGAGTTTCCTTCTTTAGGCCCAAAGCAAGTGGGGGTCTGAGAAGGAGTGGGTGGCAGAGGAAGGACACGCACCCACCCACGCACCCACGGCGCTGGGCGGCCTGGCAGGACCTCCGTCCTCCATCCTCCCTAGAGCATCGGCCTTGGGCACCAGAGGGAGCCCTGCTCCAGATGTCACCCTCTGGTTTTGGCAGACAGGCAATCTCTGTGATGCAGGGCTTGTGAACAAGTAGGTCAGAGGCTCCTGCTACTGCAGGAGCTGCTCAGGGCCCTGGCTGTGTTTCATTCCACGGGAGCACGTCTGCCTTTACAGCTTCCTGCCACCCGCCCGGCAGGATTGCCCCTGGATTAGAGGGTTCCCTCGAGCTCCGGTCGATCCTCCTCCGTTGTTGTCGGGCTCCTCACCTGCGAAGTGCTTCGTCCTTTCGGCTCAGACCACGACAGCGCGCTCGTTACTCAGCAACAACTGGCTCAGGAAACCATCTGCCACCTACAGCTCCTCCGTCTGAAGTGAGTCCTGACTCACGGAAACACCCTGTTCCTGCGCCCTCCCCACGCTCTTGCCTCCCATCCGACCCCCAGTCGCTGTCAGGTTCTTGGAGCTGGGCCCCTCAGTGGAGGTTAATCTCAGACTGTGTTCCTGGCCCAGGGCTTGGCACCTCAACCCTGAGCAAGCACCAGCCGAGCGCGCAGGAATGGGTCTGCTCCCCGCCCCCACCCAATGGGAAGTACCATTTTCTCTCCTGTTAAATATACAAAGACACGGCTCAATACATAGTACCAAGGAGGGGCCAATGGCTGTTTACTCCTTTAACGGACAGTGTAAACAGACCGCCTCCTCCTGAGAAAGGAATAAATACATAAGCACCGGGTCCAATGTCGCTGAGTGCACGGGAAGTCACTCTTCCGAGAGCCGTGGAATGCCGCACATACAGCTTGGCATCCGGCCCTTAAAATCACCTCTGCCGGGGAGGGGAAGAATGAAGGGGAGTAAATCGCAGGGGGAGACGAACCATGAGAGACGATGGACTCTGAAAAACAAACTGAGGGTTCTAGAGGGGAGGAGCGTAGGGGGATGGGTTAGCCTGGTGATTGCTATTAAAGAGGGCACATTCTGCGTGGAGCACTGGGTGTTATGAACAAACAATGAATCATGGAACACTACATCAAAAACTAATGATGTAATATATGGTGATTAACATAACAATAAAAATTTAAAAAAAATCACCTCTGCCGGAACCCGACTGGAGGGCAAAGTCAGCGAACCCCGCTCTCCTCCAGAGACCGGTGCCAGCCTGCAGTCTGCCGACTGTACAGGGCATCCTCCTGGTGCCACAATGCACAGAGCGCATCATGAAACCCTGGCTTTTCTGGGGTCACACCAGGAAGCCTTTGAGGGAGGCTGGAAGTCCCAGCTGGCGACCACCTGCCTCGCCCCCCTTTCCCTGAGTCCCCTCAATTGTGGGAGGAAGCCCAGGCAAAAATGAAGAGAAAGCCTCTTCTAGCCGGAGCTTCAGCTTCTCTGAAGCTATTTCTGACAACATCTGTCCACCGTGAACCCTTCCTTCCTTGAATTATTTTTTAAGATTGATTGACTGAGTATGTGAGCAGAGGGAGGGGCAGAGGGAGAGGAAGAATCTCCAGCACACTCCCTGCTGAGCGCGGAGCCCAACACTGAACGGGATCCTGAGATCATGACCTGAGCCAAAACCAAGAGTCAGTAGCTTAACGGACTGAGCCACCCAGGCGCCCCTCCTTGAACTCTTAATTATGCTTTCCTTTCTGCTGACACTCACTTGTACACTGAGATTAGCTAATATGCCATTGCTAGGTCTCGTTTTCCCAGACTGCCTACCACAAAGCCTTGCACCCTAGGCTGCTGAATAGCTTTCGAATTAGTTTTCTGAAACACAAACTAAAAAAATGGACTTTGGCACTCAGAGGAGTCCACTGGGGCTGGCGTGCTTCCTGAACAGAGTGGAAGCCTTGTTCAAATGGTACCTTCCACTCTAAGATGCTTCTACAGAAGATAAATGATTTCATTGTGATTTTAAGTTTATTGGAAACAGCCTTGGGCCGAACAACCCCCAGGATCTGCCAGGAATCTAGGTGTATTTCTGTGACAGGGACGCTTTGCCTTGACTATTGTTCAGGGAAGTCTCATTAAGCTGGAAACAGAAACAACGGAACGTGCAGAAAGTTGCAATCACGGAGGTGTTCAAAGATAAAAATAAGCCCCCACGGGCCTTTTGTGTCAAACTCTGGCCTGTGGCTGGTCTGAACCCAAACTGGTTTTTTTAGAGACTGAAAGATGAAAGAGTAGATGCTGGTTCGTTCCTCACTCCTTCGGTGCTTTTGGGAAAGGCTGTTAAATATTCCTGGGTTCCCCTTGGGAAAGGAGATAATTCCAACTCTCACAGAAAGAATGCACGTATTAAATAAAATGGGTGTGTGGAACCAACTGCACAGCGTGGGCACCAAACAATTACCTTAATAAATGTCATCTATCTGCTCCCCCGAAAAAATAGAAGAAAGAAAGAAAGTGCGAGTGTCCCTTGCAGCTGTGTGGCCCAGGCTGGGAGGGCATCCCAGCAGGGATTCCGGGCAGCACGCCGGGCGCACCCGCGAGGATCCGGGCCCGGGGCAGACGGGGGAATGAGGCGCATGATGGAAGGAAGCAGCCTCACAGGCTCTAGAACTCCTTGCCAAGTACACACGTGCAAGAGAAAGACAAGTGACGTGCATTCCTGTCTTAGAAGCCCGGCAGGCCTCCAGCCAGGTGTTCGGGCACTTGTCTTAAATCATGGTGATCGTCCTGAAGAAACTGCCCCCTTGAGAATCTGCTTTCTAAGGCCACAGGGTCCTTTTTCAGCAGCTCTTCGTTGACAAAGACAAACAGGAAACGCTTGGCCAGGAGGATGATGACTTTCAAGGTGGAAAAGGGCAGGGTGGTGCCCACGTCCTTAGTTCATGCAGAGTCGGGATGGCTGGGCTTCAGAACTCAGACAGACAGACAGACAGAGAGGATGTCTCTCCAGGGACCAGAGCAGGGTCAACAGCCTTGTGTTCCATGAAGACAGCTCCCATTCCTGTAGCTTCATCAAAGCAGGGCAGTGATCACCCCAGAAACTACACCTTCTGTCAGCCTGTTTCCAATACTCTCCCCCAAAACTCTTCAAGGAGACTGGATAACACAGAATAAAACTGGCATTTCCCTTCTGTTCCCCTTCAGGAAAAGCTATCAGGAGTGGTAAACTGCAGACCCGATACTAGATGATACATCCTAACTTAAAAATCAGTTTTCCAAAGGGCGCCTGGGTGGCTCAGTTGGCTGAGCGACTGCCTTCGGCTCAGGTCATGGTCCTGGAGTCCCGGGATCGAGTCCCGCATCGGGCTCCCTGCTCGGCGGGGAGTCTGCTTCTCCCTCTGACCCTCTTCCCTCTCGTGCTCTCTATCTCTCATTCTCTCTCAAATAAATAAATAAAATCTTTAAAAAAAAAAATCAGTTTTCCCCCTAGAATTGGAACACGGTAAAATACAAAACTATATATATAATACAAAGACTATACATACATATATATACATAATTTTATACATATATTGTATACATATGTAGTGCACGTATATGAAAACTTCAAGGCCCTAAGGACTTTGTAGTGCTTGAGACATCCTTCTAAACATCTCTTACCACCACACAAGGTCACAGAACACACTTGTCTGGATCTAAGCTAAGAAGACTAATCTTGCCAAACTGATCTATTAAACTTGCCTTGGATAAGAAGGATAGCAAAAGGGTAATATCTTCCCACGATTTGTTCAGCTACACACGGTTCTACTGTACATTTAGTAATTTTAGTTAATAAAAGAACAACAGACTTCTCAAAAAAAAAACTTTTTTTTTAAAGATTTTATTTATTTATTTGAGAGGGAGAGAATGAGAGAGAAAGAGAGAGCACATGAGAGGGGGAGGGTCAGAGGGAGAAGCAGACTCCCCGCTGAGCAAGGAGCCCGATGCGGGACTCGATCCCGGGACTCCAGGATCATGACCTGAGCCGAAGGCAGTCGCTTCACCAACCGAGCCACCCAGGTGCCCAGAAACTAGTATTTTAAAAAGGTGACCTTTAAGTTACAGACCTATTACCTCCTTTAAGATTCCATCTCAAACAGGCATTTACTTTCTTCCTGACAATCTGTAGGCCCATCCTGAGGACAACAGGCAAACTCTCAAAGTTACTCTGCTTAGCCCACTGTTAGGGACCCTTCCTCCCTCAGCTTAGCAGCCCTGAGAAGTTGGCCCTTCTCGGCCTCAGGAGCTAAGCTGACTGCTCTGATGTGGCCCCTGAGGGACACTTCCCCCGACCAATGCCTTGATGTCACAGAGGTAGGGCAGGCTGGACAACCGAACTCCTGACAAGGTAAAGCAGGGATCTTTGGCAACCCTCCTTTATTTTAGTTAGGTAGTAATGGCTTAATAACTATTTTTGGAAGAGGTGGACACAGTGGTCCTTGCTGTATAAGACAGATATATATAAATACATAGGACACATGACTTGATTTGCTTTGACAGTCACTAACTACAATGATTTTAACAGATTATTTCTGCTACTTACCAGAGTTTTAAAACCCTATGTACAGGGGCACCTGGGTGGTGCAATTAGTTAAACATCTGACTCTAGGTTTTGGCTCAGGTCATGATCTCAGGGTCATGAGGTGGGGCCCGGTGTCAGGTCCGCACTGAACATGGAGCCTGCTTACGATTCTTTCTCCCTCTCCCTCTGCCCCTCCTCCCTGCATGCACTCTCTCTCTCAAATAAATAAATAAGTCTTAAAAAAAAAAAACTATGTACAAATAAACTCTTCTAAAACTAAAGTCAGAATGCCATCACTTTGGCAAGATGCCCTTTCTTCTAATATGCGTGAAGAAAGAAAACATGGAACCGAAAAGAAGTGTCCTTCACATCTGGCCTTAAAGCTCCAGAAAAAAACAGGTGCTTTGAGAGGGGAGGGCCAGGTGCTCCCAGCAGGAACTTAGCACGTGCAGAGACACTGGGGCACAGATCGTTTGGGAAACACTCAGCACAGGGCATGCTTGCGAGAAGGTGGCCACATGAGGCTGGGCACTTCCATTCTGTCAGACGGCTCACAGTGTGGGTGTGTTTCTTTGCCCTGAAGGTGACAGAAGGTCACCAAAGCAACTGTGCCCCCACCACCCCATTTCCCTGTCCCCTGCCCGTTTACCCTTCCTATTCCACTAACAGTCCCTGCGGTGTGCACTACATGTTTACATCCCCCCAGATTCTTATAATTTAAAGCTGCATCTCCCAGGCCCCATGTGATGATATCTGAAGTGGGGTTTTTGGGAGGTGATCAGGCTCCCATGAGGTCAGGAGATGGGTAGGTACCCCACGATGGGATTAGTGTCCTCATACAATGAGGGGGAGGCACCAGTTTCTCTCTCTGCCACGTAGGGACATAGGGGACATCGTGAGAAGGTGGCCATCTGTCAACCAAGAGGAGGGTTCTCTTGTCTCTCTTGGCCCTAGGGTCAAATGCCAAGAACCAAATCTGCTGGCACCCTAATCTTGGGCTACCAGGCTCCAGAGCCGTGAGGAATAAATGCCTGCTTTTCAGCTCCCACTCTCTGGTGTTCTGTGACAGCAGACTGAGCGAAGACGGTCCCCACCGAAAAAACCTAAGATCCTAAGACCCCATCCACCTGGGCTGAATCCTAAGCCTGAGCTGATCTGCTCCCCAGAATTCCTTCTGGTACCACTGCACTTGGTGAGTTCACACTTTCATAAGCACAGAAAAACATCTAATAATGCTATTCCTGTTTCCCAGGCACATTCTCTAAGCTCTTTAGGAAATGGCTAGGGTGTTTCCCACTGCAAGTCTGAACCTCAAAGCCAAGCTCAAGGCTGTACTCACGTCCAGAGACTCGAGGCAGTACCAGCAGAAGGCGTGTTTGCAGTTCTTACACATCATCTGGGCACACCCTTCGTCCCGCTCGATGTAGACCTTGCACTTGGGGCAGCGCTTGATGGGCGCGTCGTCCTCCTCCAGTTTGAAAGCAGAGCTGTGGGAGAGAGTCCATCAGCGCGAGGCTCAGTGGGGCCCCGGGGGGCGTGGGGGGGACCTGTCAGCACCAGCAAGACTGCAACCATTAGTGCAACTACAGGGGCCAAGGCCACTTGTTATTCGGTGTTATAAAATAAAACTAAGACTCCATAAAACAATCGCCAAAAAAATCTGTGGATCAGCCAGTTGGATTTAAGGGGAAAAATGCAATATTGGTATGTATTTAAGTTTAGATATGTGTAGACAAAAGAAATCATGGCAAAGGCTTATAAAGAAGGTGTCCGCGTAATGGGGTGATGGTCAAATTTTATGTTTTCATTCATACATTTGTATAATTTCCAAAGGATCGATGATAATTTTTATGCACTTCACTATTATCAGAAAAAAATAAATGTTACAAATATGTATTTGTAACTCATCGATCAGTTAGATCTACTGGGCCTGTCTTTACAGAACCACTGTCGTAAGAAGTCTGGTGAGGCTTGCAGTGGTTGGCGTGATGGGCTGTAAGCCTGGGGTCACGGGCTGGTGCTATGCAGACTGGCCACGTCTGGGCCTCAGGCCCCTCAGGGCGAGCACGCTGGAAGATCACACACGACAACAGCACCCTGCAGCATCGAGCACGGGTGAAGCTGGCCGATAAATGACAGCAATCGTTCTACACTGCTAATAAAGAGATGACACAGATATTTTGGTGTGACTCCAGAAGAATGTCCATCCCATGCCATTAAATTTAAAAAGAAAGCTAAAAAAAAATGTGCATGGGAACATCTGGAAGATAAAATGGTAATCTGCTACAAGCAGTTATCACCACGGGAACACATTTGCTGTATTATCTGAACTCACTGCATCAGTCCAGCATCACCAGGAGAAAAATGATCTCCCACTGGAGTGAGCAGCCCTTCTAGAACCTAATGCATTCATGAGCATACATGCACTGAAAGCGAGCAAATTCTGGCATTTGGAGTGCATTCTGGCGGAAGGATCTTCCACAAGCATCATGGTAAATATAACGATTAAAACCATTTGACTTTAGTAAGAGCTATCTGATAATGAGGGCAGGCGCCTCCTCAGTGGGGTGTGGGCTCCTGCTCAATGCGGTTCTGGGCTGTTCACTAGGAGGCAGTGACCAGTGAGGACGTGGCGGCAGGAGGCAGAGTGTCCTCGCCGTGAGGAGCACGGGGTCCAGAGACAGACAAGTCCCAGCCGTGCGGCTCGGGTATCAGCAGTGTTAGTGTGCCCATTCCATCCGCTGCTCGGAGTGAGGCTAGCGGCACCCACCTCAGGGTGTGGCGAAGCTTGAACGGGTTTCCGGGCACGTAGTACCCACACCCAGAACCTGGCGGGGGGGGCAGTCAGCACTCAGCAACTGGCAGTTATTACAGTCTCTCTGAAGGAAACACTCTCTCCTGCTCCAATTCTTGTCTAGTGTGAAGGCAAAACACACAGCAAGCTGGCTGCAAGGGAATCGACTCCGAATGAGCCAGGGCGGTCACACGCAAGTGCCCCCAGCGGGCCCCGGGGAACACAGTCAGCTCCGCGCAATCACAAGCTGTGCCCTCCTGCAGATTGCTGCAAAGAGCCCCAAAGTCACAAGGCACCAAATCCAGTGACTGAGGGTGGCTATCGGGCTAGATAACATTGTTTCAGTTTGAAAGCCAGTTGTGACCTTAAAGTAATGGAACTAATTTCCTCATGTGATTCATAAGCTCATTTTGAAGGAAATTCCACGAACGGGGGCAGTGTATCGGTGGGGAATGAAGACCATCTCTTCTCAGGGAGACATTAAAATGGAAACAGTTCAAATATTTAAGTGCTGGTGTGGTGTGCCTAGAAATTCACACAGTATGGACGGCGGTTTTCAACATTTCCCGGCATCTGAATTATATTTCAAATTATTATTAATAACAGCCCTTACTATAAACTTAAATTTATGAAAGTAGATAAGGCGTCTTTGACCACTTCAAGACCTTCACGGGGCAGACACATCGCAGTGATCGAAGCCGGTCAGGTGGTGGATGGGAACATGGCTTAAGGGAAGATGGAATGTAAGACAACCCTACTACATGGAAACAGGAGGTAAGCGATTCATTCCAGCATCTGAGAGCTGGCTGGATGCCGAGATCTGGGGTGACAAAGTTCGAGCAAGCGCAGGCCGTGATGCGGGGAGCTCAGCCTACTGGAGGAATCGGCCGCACACGCAGATGACCTCCAGTGCAGTATGGCTGGTGTTGTGACCAATACAGACCATCTCCAGCGAGGGGCACAGAGGGTGGGGTCAGCAGCTCTGCCCTGGGATCGGGGTAGCCTGACGAAGGACGGACTTGCGCCCTGTCTTTGAGGGCGGCAAGGAGCCTCCAGGGAAAGGAGGGTGGTGAGGGGCAGGCACAGGCTCAAACGTGCAGACTCGGGAGAGGAAGGAGGGGCCAAGAGGTTCTCTGTGCAGGGGGAGCTGCGGGGAGTGGGAGCGGGGCAGCAGACCGGGGAGAGGAAAACAGGGAGCAGGGGTGGCCGGTGGGAGTCCCTCGATCAAGAACGCGGCCGCAACAGGCGCAGGGCTAACACCATCTTGGGGAACCATCTGTGCTACAGACTTTATAGGACATAAATAGCTGAATATTACCAATTTCTTCTGATTCATCCCACTTAACTTTAAGGTACATACAGTGATGCTGCAGCGTCCCCCCGGGCATCGGCCTGAGGGTCGGACCAGGGGACGTCTGAGACGGCAGAGATGCAGCCATGTTTCCCCCGCTCTTCTAGGGAAGTGCAGGCCCTTGCTCGCAGGCACGTGGAAACCTGTTTTTGGCGATCCCTTTGGCATTTGCAGCTACTGCCCACCTACGCTGGTCCCTGTCCCCGTCTCAGGTCACCTTCCACACCATCGAGGCTTGGAAAACTCTAGGTATGATGTGACTTCAAAGTCCTGACGGTAATAAGCCATCCACAGGTTTGTCTTTCCAGATAGGCCGAGTGCAGTCAGCTTCCTGTGCACCATTATAACGCCACTGCTTTGCACAGTACCTGACACACCATCAGTTCTCAAAAATAATCAACCCGCCCGCCCGCCTGCCCAGGTTTAAACGAGGCTCAAGAGGAAGAGACTGATCCAGAAGCCGTCATGTCTCCGGAGACACATCCGAGGTGGGGCAGCTTCCTTCTCTTCCTTCTCCCCAGCCCTCCGCCCACGCCCTCCGCGGGAGCGGTGTGCAGGGTACCTGGTCTCTCCGGGAAGGAAGGTGATGGGCAAGGCCTCCGGGCAGCCTTGGCCAGGGTGCCAGCTGGCTTTGCAGGCGGAGCAGAATTCCATGTCACAAGCTTTGCACTGCACCAGTTGCGGGGTCTGCAGCCCCATCTCCTGAAGCTGGCACACGGCCTGGCAGGCGGAGGCCGGGCACCAAGTCCGACAGGGGTCCAGGAGCACCTCTAGCACAGGGAGACAAAAATGGGCAAGTCAACGTCTGCACACGAAGGCTCTCATGGGGTGTTCGGACTGAGGGATCACATCAGCACATGGCTTCACATTTTTAACAGTCTATGTCCTTCACGACCTAGTGCCTGTCTGGCTCTTTCTCCTCCCCTCCTCTCGCTCCCCACTTCCAATCCCACCCAAAACACACCCAGAGTCCTTTAGAGATGCTGCTGCCTGCACCCAGAATGCTGGTGGCTCCCAGGAAGCACCCCCCCCCCCACCGGACCCCTGACGGCCGGTCTGGGCTCCCTGTGAATGCCCACAGGCCATGGTCCAGGTGCGCCTTCTGCTTCCTTGTTCACCTCCCCAGGGCACAGCTTCCTGAAGTCAGGCCCACGTCTTCAGTCTTGCTGCCTCACAGCCTGGCCCAGTGCAAGGCACACAGCGGGTCCTTGGACAACGTTTGGTAAGGAGAATGGAAAGAAAGGAGGGAAGGAATGTGGCCAAATTCTCATCAAATGACTCATTTGCCTAAGGCCGTCCCCCCTCCCAAATTTAAACCTAAGCCGTGAACTAACTCCTCTGTGAAATGGCCAGGCTGCCTCTCCAAGTGGAGGTCAAGCTGCTAAGAAGCCCCCATTATAGGAAGTTAGTGATGGAGCTTATTCTGAAAAACAGGATACCCTCCCGTTTCCACTCCTGGTCAGTCCCGAGCTGCCCTTCTTCGTAAACCTGATTAATCATTTCATTTACCGCCTGTCCGGGGTGACACTGAATCCTCAGTGAGGGCCAGTGGATGTGAGAACCTGACAGGAAACGACACAGAATGCTGAGGCTCTGCCAAAAAACTATCACAGGCCAAAGGATTGGGGTCATTTTCAAAGGCCTTCAAGTAGGCCACTGGTTTCTAAGCTTTTCAGCCGTGGCTATGGGGAAGAAACCGGAGACCACTGGATTCTGCCAGGGAAACTTGGAAGGCAATGAAAGGGACTTGTGAGCTTCCTGGCCGTGTGACCGACCGACAGCCAGGGGTGGGTTAAGTTCACCTGCATCGAAAACAGGATTTGCACGCACTGGGATCTACCACTGCCTGGGGGCTGGACGTGGGCTGGACGTGTGCCCAGACGTCACCTACACGGGCTGCTACAGGACACATGTAGGTGTGCCATTTTCCCCATTTAAACGGGAAGCCAGATTCAGCCCTCTAGGAATAAGCTGTGTCAGGTACAGCCTTGAAAACGGTCTTCTATTCCAGGAACGAGAAAATATTTTCTGCAAAGGAGCAGACAGTGAGTATATTTTAGTCTTTGAGAGTCGTGCGGTCTGTCTCCAACGACTCAGCTCTGCTATTGTAGCACAAAAGCAGCCATGCTGATCCATAAATGAGTGTCCCAATAAAACTTTATTTACAATGCCAAGCCATGGGCCGGGCCACTCTGGGCCCACTGGCCAAAGCTGACCCACTCCTGCTCTAATCTAACTCCTCCTCGACCTGTTGTTTGGAAGGGAGAATTAATCAATGGCAGGAAACTATCAAATTGGTAGGTCTAATATAAAGGATCTCTGGAATCCAGGAAAATATGCTACTTTTTAACTGACCTTCATTACAGTAACGTAAAATCTTCATGATGTTCCTAATGGTGAGTGAATGAGGAGAAAGCTCCTGTCATTAGCTGAGGTTCAGGGTCTGCTTTTCTAGGAATGTTTGCGGCCATCAGATCTGGGGGTGGCTCTGTGGGGCAACGAAGTGGTTGCCCCCGGGGCACATGTGTGGGGAGCCTCACCTGGGCCTAGGGGACAGCAGAAAGGAGGAGGGAGACAAGCCCTCCATGGAGGTCCCCACCCCGGGGAATGAAAGCGAGGCAGGTGACCCGCTGCACTCCCCTCCCTGGTCTGATTCACCTCCTCACGACGGTCCCCACACGGCTCCCTGTATTCGGTGCTAAAGAGGGCTCTGGGGGAGCCCAGCCTCACCCCAGCTAGATTTTGGGGTCCCCTATGAGCACAGCACCTGCGGAAGGGCAATGCAGGGTATGGGCACTTAGCACGCTAACCACCACACGACACAGGGACAGAGGTCCTCAGCCTGCTCTGTTCTCTTCCATCTTGACGCTGTGGTCAGTGCTGGTCTGTCTGAGAGCGTCGGCGAGCATGCTGCCCTTACACAGACCCTGCGGGCTCCCCCTGCTCCGGGCCCCGGCCTCTACAGTGAGGAGCCTGCGGCGTCAGGGCTGGCTGCACTAACTCCCGCACCCCGTGGCCATAACCCATCTCCCATTCACTCTCCTGGCACAGCGAAGGCAGCTACTAGGCTGCCTCATCGGCCGAGACCCAGTTATATTAAGGAGCGCAGGGCAAGGAGACCTAGTTAAGGTTTCCATGGTAATGACTTAAATTTTGTGACTTTTGTCCCCATGGAGCTGTGACAGGAACTGCCTGTCCCCGGGGGAGAGATTTCCTATCAGAGAGGAAAAGGGCAAAGAATCTGTCCCAATCGGCCGAAGGCGAACACCCTTCCCCTGCAGCCAGGACACCTCAAACCCTGCAATACAGCCCCCAGGGCTCTTCCCGTGGACTTGCACTAACATTCCCGTCGTCACTCCCATGCTGAATTCCGCCAGCTGATGTACAAGACAGGAAACGATCAGTAAGAAAATCCACACTGGGGAGCACCAGGGAGCTCTCCTTTTCGGAAAGCATGCAGGTACAGACATCTAGGGCTATGGATCACATATATACCTAACAATATACATTAGACACATTGTATCTTTGATACATTATATCTAATGTCTTACATAGACATGTCTGTGTAGAGCATAGGTCTTCAAACAAGGCCAGCAACCTATTTTCTGGCACACCTTAGAAACTAATTCTCAGCTTCCATCTCCCCAAGACACATTAATCATAGATAAAGGAAGCAGGTCCCTAATAGCTCTGCTTATAAAAAAGCCCAAGACTTTTTAAAAAGGTGCTTTTCTTTTTAAAGTTTTCTTGGAGAAGCGTGCTAGGAGAGATGGGGTTCCTACTCTCACTACGCGGCTGGCCAGGCCCGCGCTCCGGCCGCAGCACCCCCGTGGCAGTGCATCCCGCCCTGTGGGGAGTCCTCGGCCCCGGTCAGGCCCGCTTACAGATGGATCAGTTCAGCAAGTGAGTTCATCTCTCTGGGCTTTACTCTCGAGGAAAGCACCAACACCATGCAGGACAAGCCCTGACGTTAGCATTCATCGGACCTGCTGCCCCAAGGATAAAGAACCCAGGAGGTTGCAGGGCCCGCCTCTGGATGGCAGGAGCTTCAGGAGTGAGGAACAGGGAAAAAACACCTGCAGCCTGTCAGGGTCGCTGCTCAGCCAAGAGCACGGGTGTAGCGGAGCATGGTGGGGCATGCGAGGGAATGGGCCCCCTGCAGAGCCTGCCCCCATAAGGCCTCTGGAGTCTGCCACAGGGGCAGGTGGGCACTGGGAAAGAAAAACAAGCCCACAGCTTCCTTGCCAAAGATCCCAACTGGAGGAGTGGAGGAGAGGAGATGAAAATCAAGCTTGTTATACCTGAAACTAATATAACATGGTGTGTCAACCGTACTTCCAATTTAAAAAAAGATCAAGGCTGTTACATGAGAGAAGACATGCTAAGACCCAAGGGAGACAATGTTTGCAACTTAAACCAATTAGGAACTAAGTGTTGTCAGAGGACCTGGGAGCTGGGTTCTCTTCCTGGGGCGGCCTCCCTGACTGCATTTCAAAACAATCACTTGTTTCAAAACTTGTTTGATGTACTTGCTGGAAGCAATTGCTTTACTTTAGCTCCAACATTTTAACATTTCATTCAGACAGGTCTTTGGTCATACCAAGTCTGAGTTCATTTTGTGTTTTTGTTGCTTTTCACATAGTGCTAGCAAAATGTTCTCAAGTAATAGGCTTGAGAGATTTTGTTCACCTAAGTCAAGTTGGCTTCATTTTTATGCAAAGTTTAGAAAAAAAAAAAAAATCCCTGACTGAGCCCAAAGCACTTGAAATTACAAAGTATTTGAAAGTACAAAGTTGAAATTATTAGGTAGGAAAATTTATCCAGCTGAATTTTTAAATGAAATTCAAGGTCAGAGAAAGTTAATTTTCTTATAACCCAAATAACTACCAGTTTCTGTCAAGATTCTCTCTGGAAAATATTTTCAGAAGAGCCTGAAAGTCTCAGAAATCCAAATTAATCAATTTTATAGCTCTACATGCTGACTTCTGTATCACATGGTATTACATTTAAACTATAAACCACCCCAAACCAAATGATATATGCCATTTAAATAAACAATTGAAAACAATTTCAATGTCATCAGAATCCTGTTTCATTTTCTTAAGTTTGCCACACACTGCCTTTTTTTTTTTTTAAGCAAGCCTCAAGAGGAAATACAACTATCTGTAGCATTTCTTAAAAAAAAAAAAAAAGAAAGAAAGAAAGACCTTTCCACATTCGGCTAAGCTAGCAATCTCCTGATCCTTTCCTCTGCTCTATTCTGCATTCTTCCCATCTTGAGTGTTTTCCTGTAAACATGCAGCCCAGGGTTGCATCTCAATAATGAGCTTCTGATGCAGAGAAGGCTCTGTATAAGAGCAGGAAGAGCGGAGAGCACACTTGAATGATTACAGTCTGAGCTGAAAAGGTCAGAGTTTGGATGTGGTGTCTTCACAGTAAAATTGTGCCTAAGGAGCATCATCTAAACATGTCTGTTATTCTGCTCCTTTTCAGGTGAGCCCAAGGTCCCGGATATATATGAGAATGAAGCCAAATGGAAGCCACTGACTCTTTAAAACATCATTTTATGACCTTGGCACACTTCAGAGAGCCAAGCCAAAGACCAGTCCTGGGCATCCAACACGTTTCAATGCTTGGCAAGGCCACCTTGAAAATGATGTCACCTCCGCTCCGCCCGTGCCACACAGTGCTCCTGGGGAACCCTGAGGTCTGTGGCAGGCCTGGCTCCCGCCAAGAGGGTGTGCAGGACACCCTGGAGACGGGGGCAGATCTGGTCCACACTGCTACCGCCACCCACTAGAGCTGGAAGTCTGGCAAAACTTACTGAGACAAGGGACGTGGGACCCGGCGCCCACGTGTCCAGACCCGCCCCAGGTGCAAAAGCACAGGTTACACTCTCCTGTCAGGACGCCGGTCATCACACTTGCACCCACACGTGGCCTCCCAACTTCCTTCTGCGCCTTTGGATCTTTTAAATTCTGCACCGTCTAAGAATTTAGTCCCCAAACTATTAGCCATAACCCGGCTGCAGAATAATCATGCCCCATGAGGGTCAGATTGCTTTAAACCAACCCCTAAACCCAAATCTCTGTAAAGGAGTTGTGTTTCAGGATTCCTTCTTGTTGCCACATGGAAACCCAACAAAGGCCTTCCACCTGGGAGCTCTGCAGAGAACTCAAAATGACCGCGACATCTCAGAAATCTAATTTACATCGATGCTTTCACTTCCACTGCAGCCGAAGGATGGACAATCCTATCCCCCGAAAGCGCTCCCCACCCCCGACGTGCCTGCCGGTACTCCACCACCACGGGAATCGTAACCCGCTAACCCGCCCAGGCACCTACCTCTTTCAAACTGTAGCTTTTTGTATCTTTGCATAATTTCAGCAGCGACCATGCACTCAATCTAAGAAGAAAAAAACACAAACAAGAAGTATGACAAGCTGTGGGCTAGAACACAGCCCAGGTCGGCCTAAGCGGAGCCCATGACCCCCAGCGGATCTACTGAGGGCGCCCTTGCACCCGTTAAAAACCAGATTTGTTCAGATGCTCGTGCCTCGTCCTCCTGCAGATGGCCCTGTTTAGGGCAGGCCGCATCGGGGCAGCTGATCGCAGTTTCTAGTCCTTCTTTGATCAAGAGCTCAACATACTGTTTCAGGCACTGAAAAAAAAACAAAGAACAGAGAAGTATCTGTCAACATCTTTATTCCTTAAGGGCGAAGACCCCGCAATACATAATCCAGCACACCGCCTATTTTCACTATTTGCCTATTTCCACTGTGTAGCCCAGAGCGACCACCAAAGTAGAGGTTCTGTTCACTCGACGAGTATTCCAGGCCACAGAACGAAGGCTGCAGGTGGGGTCCCTGCACACAAGTTTGGCAAATACCATGCCAGTGCATCTCACGGTAGGAGGAAAGGAGGAGAGGGAGGTCGGGAAGGAGCATTTCTCAAATGCGTATCAGACGCCAGGCACTGTACTCAACCCTTTCTATTCCATCGTTTCACGTACGCCTGAGATCATTCTTACAGGAAGGGGATGACAGTTGCACCTTTCAGGTGTGAACAGAGTCACTGAAGGAGCTTGCCGGCGGAGCCAGACAGCAAGGGCAGAGCCCCGAGTCAAGCCTGGCCCGGCTCGACTCAGAAATGCCCCTGCGCTCCCCGAGAACCTGCACACAGATGCCAGTCCTCACCCCTGACACCCCACTTCCCAGCAGTTACTTACTACAACTGCACCTACTTGAAGGACTGCTCAAAGTCTCGGGTCAGACAGACAAAGTGGGAGACACAGCAGAGTTCTATGGAGCGGGATGCGGTCGTACACTCCTGCCTCAGTCTACGAGTCTGGGAAGCCCACACTCCCCTGAAGAGCACATTATGAAGCACAATTAGAAGGAAAGACATGGCCTCCCCTGGTAGGCTCACTACCAAAAGTAACATGAGACAGACTTTGAAACGCTCATAGGAGAACTCAAAGAGCACAGAAACTGTGGCCATTAAGTGGAGAAACCAGCGAAAACCATCTCAACAGCATCCCCAGATCAACCTGCAATCACAGCCCCAGTCCAGTATTTGGGGTTCATGATGCCAACACCACTGTTATATTAGCACTATTAAAAATAATTGTGATTTGGGGCTCCTGGGTGGCTCAGCCGGTTAAGCGTCTGCCTTGGTTCAGGTCATGATCTCGGGGTCCTGGGGTAGAGTCCCCCATCAGGCTCCCCGCTCAGCAGGGAGCCTGCTTCTCCCTTTCTCTCTGCCCCTCCCCCTGCTGTGCTCTCTCTCTCTCTCTCTCTCTCTCTCTCTCACTTGCACATACACTCTCTAATAAATAAAATCTTTTTAAAAAAAGTAATAGTGATTCATCAAGAAAAGCCCATCAGCTATGTTTCCTAAGCCTCTACCTCCCCTCAAATGTGCACTCCATTGCCCTAGAAGGACCCATGGTCATTACTAATGGCTGTGTCGAAACTGGAATGCAGCTGCAATTCCGACTAGCTCTATGCCTGTGCCTGGAACACGTCTGTTACTCTCCTTCTACCAGCCTCATTTTCCCTACCTGCACTTTGGGGGGCTTTAACCCACATCACGGTGGAGTTGTAAGAATTTCGTGGAAGAGAATCTAGAAGATGACATGGAAAACTGTATGCCTGATTATATAAATAATAATTTGATCTAAATGGGTAATTCTCACCCTTCTAGCACATCAGAATATTTCAAACACCAGAGACACGAGGTAGCCATTTCTTTTAAAAATACAAATCAAGGTAATCCTCAGAGCCATTTCCCACAGCCTTTCTCAAGAGCGCTAAACAGAATGCGAGGCTTCATGCGACAACTGCCATGTGGGCGCCCAGAGCCCAGCCCCAAGGCGGACTGCATTCCTCGGTCCTGCCGGGGCTCCCCGTGAGGGCAGAGGCCCCCTGAACTTCCGCGATGCATGGGTCACCGATATCTCGCCAGCACAATGGTTTTGGAGAGTTCCCAGAGAACCGGGTATGGATGAGCTGCATGCAGGAGAGCTGTTTGCGGTCTCAGAGGTATGCTCATCAAAACCCACACCAGAAGGAAGAGAGGCGGCAGAGAGAAGAGGGGGCAGTCACACGGAGCCACCAGCAGGCCTGCCTGCCCCCCCCGCTCTGGCCGTGAGCACCACAGCAGCTGTCTGGGGGAGACAGTCACGCTGTGGTTTGGTGGCCTGCCACCCTTGCAACAATGCTGTGTTTCCAGACGGGAGGAACCTGGAATGTGCTGCGTCTGGCTAGGTGACCGGTGAGGCGGGAGGAAGACCGAAGGCAGAGCTAGACCGACCCACGGAACCGTTGTAGGCAGAGGCCACGGACAGGCTCCCTGACGAGTTCGGGCCACGGCTCCCTTGACCATAAAACAGGGATGGCCACCTGGCTGGGCTTTGTGATCCTAAGAAAGAACATAAAAGCACCAGCACAATTTCCAGGACACAGCACCCACTCCGCCTCTGCTTTGTCTATCTGCATGACAGGATTCCTAGAGTCAGAGGCATAAAAATCTATCGGAACCACAAGATGATGATTTTACTTTTTGTCCTCAGTTTGTGCATCTGGCATCTCTGCAGAACACTGCAATGCCATAAACTCTCATAGCGCCGTGCGGGGCTGTACACCACGGCGGGGAGACTCTGCGTCCCCCGAAAGGCACAGTACGACACTTAGCGCCCGTGGGAAACCCCCAGCAGGGGATCTCTACGACTCTGAACATCCTTGTTCAAGAACAGGCCGACGGCAAAACCACCAGTGTGTCACGTCTGGCTGGATCATTCAGAGGCCTCTGCACGATGCGCACAATGACTATGTTCTGGGAGCATCGACTTGTTTACTATATAAAAAGAGATGAGGATCCAAGTGTCCAGCCAACCATCCATGGAAAACCAGCCCAGTCTTCTTCCAGATAGGAAGTGGGTCAGGACTCACAAGCCATGTTTCTCCATCTAATAGCAAAAAGAGGTCTTAAAAGGAGCACAAGAGAATGGGCAGAGAAACTTCTGTAAAAATAAATAGGTAGTACAAAAGCAGATATCGATGGATTTCCCGCTATCATGTTGCTTGGAGCTCTCAGGGATCAGTGTCTTCACGTGAGCTGCGTTAGCCATTGCCACAAGAGTCAGGTGAGGTGCCATGGCTCCCAGTTTACAGACGAGAAAACAAAGCCTCGGGGAAGTTAAGAACGGGCTTAAAGACATACTCTGTAAGTAGACGAGCTGGGGTTCAAGTATGCCTGACTCCAAAGAGGGGGGTTTTGTTTTTAATTTCTGCCTTCTTCCTCAATTAAGAACTATTTCATATGCAATCATTTATTATGTATTTTCAGTTACCTCCTATTTTTTTTTTTTTTTTTTTACTAGAACACAGAATTTTACGTACCTTTTTGTTTGTTTGTTTTTTTAGAGTAGGTTTCACGCCCAGCACGGGACCCAATGCGGGGCTTGAGCTCACGCCCTGAGATCAAGACCTGAGCTGAAATCAAGAGGCAGACCCTTAACTGACTGAGCCACCCGGGCGCCTCTGCTGTATGTACTTCAAGCTGGCCGAGTCAGTCACCCTGGAATGCATCCATACATGCCCGTGATTCTCGGATGCAACGACGGTCCGAGACGCCAAGCCCCCATGGCCGCCGCGGGGGGAAAAGACGCTCCTGCGGGTCGGGACAGTGCCCTATTTCTGACGTCCCAGTGGGGAGAGGGGTCCCCCCCCCCCGGGGCAGGGCCAGGAAGGCTTCCCAGAGGCAACACACTGGCCAGAGGGACAAAGACATCCCAAGAAAGGGGACATCCGCTGTGCAAAGGGCAGAAGGAGGAAGGGGAGGTGTCGAGAGCCACAGAATGTTCCAGGCATTTCATTTTCCGTTTTGTTTTCCAACTGTCTGAAACGAAGTTCCAAAGAGGAGACGGCACTGCATGTTTGCTCTGAAAGCTCTGCTTCGGTTTCTTGCCAAGGAGAAGTGGGCCACAGAGAGCCAGCGGCCTTGCCTGAGCTACAGCAAGTCTCCATGGTGTCTGTTTTCTTACTCGAAGGCCTGCAGGCTGCTGAAGATCCTGAGAGCAGGAGAACACTGCTCAGAAACTGCTCCGAGGAGCTGGCGTGGCTTATGCTCCTCGGGGATCCACTACTTAGGAACAGGCAGGTCCAAGCAACGGCGGTGGGACCCCAGTGAACGCCGTTTGAAGAGCAAGGGCCCTGGAAGCACAGACCTGGGTCTGAATCCCGGCTTACCCACCTCCCAGCTGTGCGCAAGGAACCTCACCTCCCGGAGCCCCCATTCCGCGTGCGGTGGGAGGAGAGAAGCCTGCCACCACCAAGCCCATTCCAGCCATGAGACCAACCCGAGGTGGCTACGGTCACTTGCTTGGGCAGGCACCATGTGCTTTCCGTGGGCGTCAGCCCGGCAGCCCCCACGGCTACCACCACCCCGAGTATCAGTGCACTGCTGGCCCTCAGGTAGGGACCCAGGGCACGTATACTCCTCTGCAGGCTTGTGATTACAGATGCCCAGTAAGGTCGTGGAGCCACGATCTGGCGTGAAACAGTCTCTCTGAAGAGCACCAAGTCGGAAGCCCACCGGTTTGTCAGCCACTTGGGGCTTCTAGTTCAATTCAGCTGGTAGGCACGGACCACCTGCTTTTGTGAGAGGGAGGGCGCGCTGGAGCCGACCCAGGGGCGACAAGGTTTGGGGGGCCCTCCTTCACCACAATCAAAGCAAAGAGAGAGACCAGCCAGCTGTGGGTTAGGTGAGGCTGGCGCTGGACAGGGGCGTGCTCATTCAGGGCAGGCAGAGCACAGAGTGCCCATTCCCATGTCAGGTCCACACAAAGCACAGCAACCCGAGAAGGGCTGGCTGGACCACGGGTGTGTCAAACACGGCAGCCCATGGGGAGCAGAGAGGCAGGAGGGCACCCGGGCCGCGTGCAGCAATGGGGCTTCGTGTGCAGAGGTGGTGGAGACTCCTTCCCCGTGGAGTGGATTTACTCCAGCAGAGGCCGCATGAAAGAACTCAGTCTCAGCGGGGTGAGGGTAAACCTGAGTGCGGCAGGGAGACCAGGGGAAAGTGGCTCAGGCCAGGAGTCCCCATCAGGGCAGTGTGTGGCCTTGGCTTAGGGAAGTGACAGTGATGGCAACGCGTGGG